GGAAGACGGGCAGCTCGAACAACCTGTACCCGCTCAGCTCCTTCCGGAATTCGCTGAGAACTGTCTTGGGAAGAACCTCTTGAGAAGCCGTAAGGGACACGGCGGGAGCAGAAACGACGCGACGGTGGCGGCTCGGCGGCAACAACGCGCACGAGGGGGACGACGAGCCTCAGCTGATGATTCAGTTCCCGATGCGCGATTTAGTTCCAATCGACTTGTCTCATTTGAACGAAACCGATGCTGCTGCCTCCTGCTGATACGGCGACAGTTCTCCCGTCCGCCTGATTTGACAATTGTTTGAACGTTTCTCGCGTGAACGCTTCGATACAAAAGGTTTCCTTCTACCCGGACGCTCACGAGATAATCTCGAGCTCTGGAGGCGGATCCAAAATATGCAGGAAGGGGGACAATCGCTCGACCGCCGTTGATTTCCCGAGATCGAATACAGGGGACTCGGCATCCGAATGCGGAAGGAAAGAAGGAATTTGCGAATAACGAAGAGAGAATTGACGCGGAGCGATACCGAGGCTTTCTGATCGACTCGGAACACATTTCGCATCGGGCTCAGCTTTTCTCGTCTTCGGATCTCTCGCCCCCATTAAATCAACAAGCGCTGCGAGATCTTTCGCGAGTTTCTTCCTCTCACGGTAGGCAATAGGAGTCTTGATTCAAGAATCTACCCACCACTTTCGGGTCCCAGGGCTACGATTCTTCCGAATTGCTGCATCGGAAAGTACCTAAGTCAATAAAGGACCGCGGAAGGTGATTCGAATCGCGGATTCACCGGGTGCGCAGCTCATCTGTTTCATGAGAATCAGACACTTTCGGCGCCCTGATGGAAACGTCGACCAACGTCGGCAAGAGAAGATCTCAGCGAGAAGAGCTCGCTGTGTCGAGGGACTGACTGAGGAGCTGGATCGACTCTTTCCACGTTTGCTTTGCCTACGACCGATTGTTGTCGAATAGATTGCCGAGTCGACGCGACGGGTCCTTCACGGCCTCCCCTTGAGCGAGAGCGCTGAAATGCCTTCAGTCCTCTATTTTCCAAATGTGCATTCGGAGTATACGTATATAGAAAAGACGCCTACTAACAGGCAAAGGACGACGGCAGGAAGAAAGTCGCCAGTACGGTTCGGAGAGGCAGAGTGATGTCGTCAGTAGAATCAATTTGCATACGAAAAGCCATTCTTCGATTCGTCTTCGGAGCCACTATATTCATCTATTCATTGATTTGCCCGACGTTCGATGTTCAGTGAGTTAGTTCAATCGTTCTGCGTCCTTGCGCGAACTGCCTGAACCTCATTGGCATTCGGGAGCGGAAGATATAAAAGTTTCTTTGAGCCTCGCTTTCGTTCTCTACAGCGATGCGTAGAAGATGGCCCTTCGTAAGAATTCCTATCTGTCTATTCCGGTATCTGGAGAGCTGAGCAGTCTCTCGACCAGAGCTCAAAACCCTCCAGAAATAATTTCGGAACCCTGGTCTCCGGTCGAGTTAAGCCTTCCTCTTCAAAAGAACAGAGCGGAAGAGGTAAGGACCTACGGATGGGTGCGCTGTCACCACACGCATTCGGAATTACGTCTCGTTGAATGTTCTGCATTCTCTCAGATTAACAGCTCGAGCAATCCGCGAACGCAATTCATCACGCGCGAATATTCATATTCGGAGATGCTCCAACAACCGTGCAGAGAGCCTTGCGTTGATCATCGACCGAATTCCGTCAACACCTCGTCGTCAATGTCGGTTGTTTATTCGATTCTCGAAAAGTGACGTCGGTGCGGAACACCCCGAATCGTCGACGACGCAATCGCCTGGAAATCTTTCGTTCAGTTCCTCGTTTTCGTTTTCAACGCGAGAGCGGAGATTGAAAGCTTCAGATTCCGAACAGAAGCGGAATGAAGGCGAACAATTCACAGCAAATCGAAGGGACAGACTCTCAACATCATTGGAACAAAGCTCAAAAGCTTTGTTTGATGACCCGTCACGGAACTTATGCGGCGTAAAGTCTCTGCAAGCCTTGCTGCTGTTCCCGCAACCGACCGACCGACCAAGCGACCGACCGACCGACTGACTGTCTGACTGAGGCACTCGAAGTCTAGCACACACTTGAATTCCATTGTGACATATCCGCTTAGATATGAGCAATTATTCAGCAAGTTTCGCTCCCGGCGGCCTCGGAGCGAGTTTCGACCATACTTCAGAGCGCCTCAGGATTGGTCCCGAGTTGTGCCGCCGTGCAGCTTGACGGCTCCGTGCATCGGAGGCAATTCCTGGGCGAATGCGAACGCTTGGAAAGTGAATGCTTCATGAATTTTCGGAGCAATGTTCACTCGGTCTATTCAGCATTGCCGCTTCTGAACGAGAGCATCCTTCCGGATAAAACAAAAGTTTTCCACGGGAGAAGCAGAAATCCATCCTGCTATCCATCTCTCGTCCGTTCAATGACTGCACAATGAAGAAGTCGAGCCGTTCGAGAACATCGACTCTGTTGGGGGCTGCGTAAAAAACGCAGCCGTCGCCATCAATGCCTAAGCGGAGGCGGCGTCGGCTGTTGTTGCAGCAGCAGCAGTTTCAGTCGTCAAGTACTGACCGACCAAAAGCCTCACAAACGAAAGATCGAAGGAACGAACAAACCAAGGAGCGCAGCAACAAACGAAGAGACAAAAACTAACGCGGCGACGGCGGCTCCATCGAAGGCTCCGACTGCTGCTCATGTCCAACGCACGGACCATTTCCACGAGAAGCGTGTCCTCGATAAGCATCGACACCATGCTGTACCGCGAGACTCATTCCGCACAGCTGTTCTCCGTTGTAGTTGGTCCGGCTGGTGCGCACGTCGCGTCCTGAGTCTGAATTTCCCGCTCAGGGAATCACCCGACGGAATGCACCTGCGCAACATCCCTCAAGTTTCCCAGGGACAGACGGTCCTTCGTACGGGGAAGCTTGGCGAGTCAGAACGTGACGTACTCCTTTCATTGGCGTGAGAAACTCGTACGTCTATCGCACGCGCCGATTGTCTGCATGGGTCCGACACGACGAGCTCATGCGAGGATTGCAATACACAAGAGCCGAGATTCCTGATCCTGAACGCTCCGTTCGCTCTGAAAACAGTAGACGCACTCCAAGGGAGGAGAAGAATGAGGTATAGCTTCAAGAAGTGCTGGGTGAGTGCGCGCTCTTTTCCGCAAGCTGTGGAGAGAACGAATGTCCTTAATGAGGACCTCCAGCAGCCCCACAGCCGGCAGCTCTACTTCAGCCGGCGGTAGCGCTGATACTTCGTATATTGTACAATATGGCGCGAGAAACAAATTGAATGAAGGAAATACCGCGATGGATGGGGCAGGGAAGAAATGCCTGCCAGTGGGTCGGTCGGTTGGCAGATTGCGTGGCCGCCCTTTCCTCTCCCTCTTGCGGTCTGTCTTCCCGCCTGCCTACATAGATATACCGAGGAGCCCGCGAACGCCCTGAAAACGCCCCGCCGTCATTTGCCGACAAGCGTTGGGAAAGCACAGCCGCCGCTGGCTCGCCAGGAGAGACCGGCGCGGTGGATGAACGAATTTATTATTTAAATCGTGCAGCACTGCTGATTACAATCAATACGAGAAGGGAAAAAGAGAAACGAAGCTCCTGTCCTGTATCCCGCTTGTTCCTCGGCTGGTTCGATGGCTGGTTGCTTGCTTGCTTCGTTTGGCTGCCATCCGCTCACCATCCAGTCTTCTGGCACCGCATCATCCTCGACTTTTTCCTCGGTTAGTTCCATCGGTCGCGCGAACATCGGCCCTCCAGCTTGGAATTATCCACCGTGGGCAGTCTGCCCTCTTGCTCGTTCGTTTGTGTGGTATAGTCTTCGTGCGGGGCAGAAAGTGGGGTCGACCGGTCGGCCCGAGACGGGGTACTCACGGTGAGATTTCGCCGAAAACGTCAGTTTATTGCGAGTAGAAACTCTGCTTGTTCCTCCGGGCTCTCTGTGTAAAACTTTGAAAGCACGACGGAACCTGAAGCGCCCGTTTGTTCTCGGTTTGAAAGCCCGTCCTCTGTTCGAGAGCTCGAGAAGGCTTCAACGACGAAAGAGTTCGCTTTCCAGTCGACCAGGGACAGCTGGTCGCTCGCCCCGTTCATTCACTCGCAAGCTCGCGTGCAAACCATGTAACTGGAGTACGACAGCGACTGACTGAGACCGAGCGAGCATTACTATATATTATAATAAATACAACAAAGCAAACAGCCGAAACGTCAGCTCGGGCCGAAACGGACCCTGAGAGCGCGGGGACGGATAAAAAATTAGACGTATCACACGGGCATGGGACAGGACAGTCTGTACGGTGGTGTTCGAATCGCAGACATCCGAATTCCAGCCCCAGACGTCGCAATTCTCAACTCTGACTGAGCGATTCTGATAGTACAGGCGAAGACTCGCCGTCGCGGGATTGATATTGAATTTCTTGGACGATGTCGGGCTAGGGTCCGTGACACGCGGAGATAGATATGAGAAAACAAAACTCCCATGTTTGATCCATTTCGGACTGGGAGGCAAGGGTGCTGAGCCTTCGCATTCTTGTGGATCAGAAACCAGAGCACTGGGAGAAAAAGAAAACTTCAATCGGAAGATTCTGAATACTCATAATAAGTGACAGTTTCTGTAGCGATCGGCGGGAAGAAAAATCGAAGCGGGTCCGGCTCTTCTCCGCGAGTCAATCGAACGTTTCACTTTGTTTCTTCCTTCGGAATCCTGATCGGACTTCCCCCAAGGAATCACCGCGAGGAAATTGATGATTTGTGAGCGGAACGGCGGAGCCCGCTAGGCCGCAGCGGCTCCGGTATTCGAAAAAATATTGTATTTGATCATCCCGAGGATATTTATCAAGCGAGAGTCGGGCACGCGAGGATTTGGCGATGTCAACGAAATGATTGCGTCGCTCCGGTTTTTGATTTACTGAGGAACAATCCGAGGATGTCAAACTGTCGCGCCACACGTGATTTACGATTTCCTTCATGTTTCCAGGAAAGGCGGAATGCTCCTCAACAACGGTCTGGGCATAACCGGCGGTCTCCTAATGGGACTATCGAGGCCACTCTCATCTATCGAAATACTGATCCTCGGTCGCCTGATAATTGGTTACAATTGCGGTCTCAATACCGCGCTTGTGCCAATGTACCTCCTCGAAATAAGTCCACTGCCGCTCCGCGGGGGATTGGGTACCGTGAGTCAGGTCGGTGTGACCGTCGGCATGCTGCTGTCTCAGATTTTGGGTTTGCCCATTATCCTCGGCACCAAAGATGGCTGGCCCTACTTATTAGGTGAGTTATTGGCCTATGGATCCAAGATCGGATTGTTCTGGGCAGCCGCGAATTAGCCGCGACGCGTTCCGGTCGTCGCATGCGCGACCGACTGGGTGACCAAGTTGAACGGAGACGCGTACGATTGCACAGCCAGGAAGGCTCCGGCGAGGAATAGGCCAGCGGGCACGCCGACCTACCCTGCGGCCTATCTGCTCCAGCGAGAGGGATATCGGCCATGTTTTCCTGATAGTAGTCCTCTTTCCGGGGTGTTTCCTTCCGTGCCACAGGTGCCAAGCTCTATTCAGACGACTGCTGCCTCGATGTCACTTACTTTGCTCCGGTGTCACGTCTGCTTTGCTGACCTTTCCATTGACTGATTTGAAGCCAGTGAGGCCAACACCGCCGGCTAGTCAGTCGCTTGCTCACCGAGCCTGAATGGCTCTTTCACAAGCGAACCAGCGGGACGGCCGGATCGGTCCTTGCGGGAGCTACTCCATATTGCGGCATATCGGTTGCATGTAGTATGTGCAATGCAGGCTCAGAGAATTGATACGGTATCCCCCGCTCGCATGGCTGCTTTTCATTCTCCGCATGGAATAATATTCTCATAGACGTCTCTTTCATTGACCGTGATAATATGCGGTCATGGACACGAAAACCGACTTATGAATATCGAAGCCAACAACTGTTTGCTGCTTCCCGGAATGAATTACGAACAATGCTGAACATTTTTCCGACAGCGATCGCTATGGTCCCGGCCTTCTTGCAAATCGTATTGCTGCCGATGTGCCCGGAGAGTCCACGGTATCTCCTACTGTCGAAGAATCAGGAGCACGCGGCGCGAGAGGCTTTGAAGAAATTGCGCTGCACTTCGATGGTAGAGAACGACATCGAGGAGATGAGAGCTGAGGAGCTACAGCAGCATCGGGAGTCCCACGTAAGTATTTCGTGACAGCTTCCGTAATTATTCCCTGCGACTCGAGGGGCTGGAAGCGGGACACGAAGTTGAACCTCGAGTAGGAAGAAGAGAACAGAACTCCTCGAAAAGACTCGGTCGCTCCGTTCCCGAGCAGATGGGGAATTTTCCATACGGAACGCGCTCTTACCGCGAATCAGCTCCTGGACACGGTTCAGTGGATGAGAGTGTAGCAGCAAACAGATCTACATATATGAAGCGACTTTTCCCACTCGTTTTCGGAAGGAAAAGTTTTCCTGTGTTCGTAGCATGAGGACGCTCGGAGGAACTTGATGCGTCGATGGGGGAAGAGGAACGGTCGCTTCGTCAGCGACCTGCCACCCCATGCCCTAAAATAAGAGATATTTCGTTGCAGGTGACGATACTGCAAGTGATGCGCAACAAATCTTTGCAACTACCTTTGCTCATTGGGGTTGTCATGCACCTTTCGCAGCAGCTCTCTGGGATAAATGCTGTAAGTTACCGCCAGGAAAAATCTTAAGCTCACGCGTGACTTCTTCCCCCGCTATCTTTGGTTCCCACCTGGGTTCCTTTTCCGAATGAGTCGTTCGTTCCGCGGCTGACCGCTCGGCATCGAGAAGTGGTCCGAGTTTCCATGAACCGATGGTGCACCGGTTTTTCCTTTGGCCGTATTCGGCCGGATGTCTTGATTCTTCATTACGTTGTATCGGGATCCGGAGGCCCTTGGGAAGCTTCGCCAACAAGACTAAAGTTGACCTTTATCACGGAAATGGAGGCTGAAATGTGTGAGACGCGCGCCAAAATAGGCAACAAGACGCGGAGGGACAAGGACCCAGGTGGCCCGTGGGCATCATATAAGATGGCCCTCCACAAATAACCCTAATTGCCCACCTTCCGCGGAAGAGGGGGAGCAGCCTTCTTGCTGTCGGTCGTACACTGCCCGTCAGACTGCCGGTGGCCGTACCTGACCAAGTTGCTCCGTCGATTCATTCCCTACGGCTATGGTAACAACACGGACCGTTTGTCGTGTCGGACGCGCCTTCTCGATGCTCCCTCTTGGGGGGCGGACGTTTTGCTCGAACTCTCCCGGATGAAGAACCACGAGCCGAGGATACGATGTGAAAAATGGAACCGAGAGAGAGAATCACTGTACGTGATCTTCGCGTGGGCCGAGCTTTCCCGTTGTTCTCCGGACGGTTCCGCCAGGGAAGCCCGTCCGCATCGCTTTTATCCCAGGAATATCGCAAGGAGCCTGATCGGCAAAGGAACGAACGACTTCCCCACGATCAAGCTCAGCTGCGTCCACCGGAACGAAGAAAAAACGAAGCTCATGCATGAGCCTGCCACCGCGACGTCAACGGCGTAAAGCTAGCTAGACTATCAACGACTGCGAGGGCTGCCGGCAGCGACGTCAGTCGGGTTACTTGGCTTCGGCTCGGAGCTTCATTGAGCCCGGGTCCACCGATACAGGAAAAGTTTCGCTCCGAAGAGACCGTCAGGCTACCGATCTGCGAGCTGTCTGAGTCGGCAGCGCGCGCTTCCAGAAGTGAGAGTTGAGGGACTTCCTTTATGTAATTTGAGCGCTCCGAAGCTTTCGAAACCGGCGAAAGAGAATACCATCGACTACGCATGTGTCTCGGAGCGTTTCCAGATCCGGAACGATTCGGCACGTCTACGACCGCCGATTCTCTCGGAGTCAGGCATCGAAGTTGGGCAACCGAGCCCATCTCTCAAGATGAGCGAACGGGATCGTTCCTCCGGAAGAGCCCAGCGCTACAGACGCGGTTCCCGCATTTTAATTGAGAGTGACAGCGGCGCGAGGCTTTCATCTCGTCTAGATCACGCTGATCCATCCTTGTGCCGTCGCTTTCCGCCAAATCTCCATGATGACGATTGAGATATTGTTCCACAGCTCCGCTTTCCGCGTCGGCGACCGAGTTCCGTGACGAATGGATGAACGAATTGATGAATTGACGGAAACGTTTTCCTTAGCGCCTCCCAAAACATCAACCGAGAGAGGGAAAAGGTCCGTGCGAAGCAGGAACCAGTAGACTTGCTCGGCTCCGAGAAGACTGTAAAGTTTCTCTCGGCCGCCCTTCATGGCTCGTAGCTTTCTTTCTATTTGTTGAGGAAAGTTTTGTGTTCTCGTTTTGACTCTCCGAGAACGGCAATATTTGGGCTGTTCTGCGACTGCCGATCGACTCGAAGGCCCAAATGAAAGACACAATCTTCCTCTTCGTCTTTTCGTCGACGAGATGAATTCGCTTCGTAAACTTCGAAGCCGCATGGGCGGAGGCTCTCCTCGTGCACTCCTCTCATACACACAGTGGGCGCACGGCTTTTTTATGCTGAGTGGGTGTTTCTTTTTTTCTCGAGCCGGCAACTTCATCTGTCGGACTTTTAATTCGCCCACGCTCTGATTGCCCGCAGTCTGGTTGAGATAATGAAAGTGAGGGCATCGCTATCTCTTCGACGTAAACAACAACAACTCGATTGAGGGAATACTTCCTTCGATCACAGCTCGATTATAACTCCCCGGAAGCCGTGCCGCCGCGCTGTGCACAAAAATTATCGACAGCAACAGCGAGCTGCCGAACGCGCTGCGGGAGAGGTCGGTCGTCGAATCCGCCGAAGGGTATCGTCCGTAATTATTCTCCCGGGAGCCGGAGGCGTCAACGAAGGCTTCCATGGAGTAGCGAGGAATACAAAGAGCAGTAGACGATCGAAGATTCTCAAGCTCGGCGCCTGGGCTACGCGGAAAGAATATTGATCGCTCATTGTTCTTGATCACGCCCTCGAATCGAGATGCCCTCTGCCCTTGTCGCCGATGATCGACTCCATCAATGTCCGGCCTGCGAGATGCTCGATGCTGACGCACTGCGCACAGCATTCAGAGTATCGACTTCCAAGATCTAGAGTCCGGCGTGGCCTGTACGCTATCGGGTGCTTGTCGAGGCATTTTTGTCCGAAGATACTCCGAACCTTAGCCGGGTTGTTCTGACGAGCGAAATCGCTTGGTCCATTGAGGCGGATAGACTAGCCTTCTCCAAAATCTCCATCGCATTCTTTGCTCCGTGTTGGCTGCTCTCTCGGGGATCGTCTTCTCGTTCTGCTCACGGAATAAGAGTATCCATTCGAACACGACAAAGCTCCGTATATACGAAAACTCCATTCTGCTCAGCGGTGATAATAACGCCTGCTGCGAAGCCCCTCTCACTCAGACAGTTTCAGCGGAGAAGTTCAGGAGCGGCAGTCTCGACACGTTTGTGTTCCGAGCCATTTGTGGAGGCTGAAAAGGAACCTCACAGAGGGAAAAAGGGAAAAACGATCAAACCATCTAACTAATAAGGCTTGAAGCATGCTCCGTATAACTCGCCTGGAACTCGGAACGTTCGTCTAAGGGGAAGGAATCGAATATCGTCCGGAGAAATGATTGTGGTACTCCCCGGGAGCCTGAGCCTAACATTTGAATGCTTTCAGGTATTTTACTATTCGACGCGGTTGTATGTTCAAGCGGGTCTCCCCGAAGATCAAGCGAAGTACGCGACTATGGGGGTGGGAGTTGTGATGGTAGTCATGACTCTAGTGTCCATTCCTCTCATGGACCGCAGTGGCAGACGCACTCTTCATCTCTATGGGCTCGGTGGAATGTTCATCTTCTCAATTTTCATCACGATATCACTACTCGTTAGCGTGAGTCATTTTGTTTTTCTGACTTCTGAGGGATTTACCTCGAAAGAGGCGCTTTGCGAGTGAACAGGTTAATTCGTAAGTAAACAGGCTCAGTATCCTAAAGGCAGCGAGAACGTCGGCGTCGTCCTCGGGCTTCCAGTCGATCGCGCGGTTGCCAAATGAGAAACGAGACGTTCTCGACCGACTCGAACGGCGAACGCCTAGCGAGCCGACTCTTCCGGAATCTGAGCTAATAAATCTGGTACCTGACGGGAAACCATCGAAACCTCCCGGAACCTTATCGCTCCGATCGGAAGGAGACCGTCGCGGATGTAAAACCAGGACCAGGGATGTAAAACTCGAAAAAAAGCCGGTTCCGGGAAGTGAGACCGAGTCATGGTCAATCTCTGATTCCTCATTGCTCTCACCCGATTCGACGGAGCAGAACACTGAGCGATTCTGCCGAGCAAGGTAGCCCCGTTTTTTGGCCGGGGGAAGGGCTACCACGTTCCATGGGTACCCTGGGTATTTCTCCTGGGTACGCATCCGGGTACAGCTTGTACTCGGTGCCATGCGCGAGCGTCTTCTTCAATATATTCCCGATCCTTCCATTCTGATAATTCGGTCTAGATCCCCTGCTCCTACCGTGGGTAGTCAGCGCCGATGAGCAATCCCGAATCGGACTCCGTGGTGTAGGAGAGGGGGTCGAAAGCTGGCCTGTTTCGACTGTCGGGGCGTATATTTCCATCCGTGAATCGCCGCTTCCTTCTTTTGACTCAACGTCAAAGCTCCTCCGTCCATGGCAGGGGTCCAGGTGAAGGCTTCGGTCGGTGTTCCCATACAGGTTTCCATGAGGGTTCCTTTCAGTATCCGTCGGGAGAGGATAAAGGGCCGCGGATTTCGACAGAAACTGTAGGAGGGTTTTCTCTTTCTCGCCTTTTCCCTTCTCTGACGTCCGCCCACCTGCGTCACTCGATATTCAGTTCTCGACTCCTTTGGGAACCCGGGCCTTTCAGTGAACATACAATGACGATTGCGAGGAGAAAATATTCATTTTCTGGAAAAAAATCGTGTTTGGGTAAAGATCCGAGGAATGACTTCCTACGCAATAGATTCCATAACACGTTTGGCAAGATTTCAGCTTTTATATTTTGCACTCGGGTCCTGCGAAGCGACCTCGGCCACCACATATCCGAGCAGCTCTTCATAGTTTCGCAAACCGGGCCGAGTCGATGCCGTCCCTCTCTGCCATTACCGCGCTTTGTTCTCTTTCCGCTCTCGTCCTGTCGTTCTTTTTCCCGCGTCGATTCGTTTCTTTCCCCCATCGATGTCGTCATGTTCTTTCGGTCAGTCTGCCCCGCACGTCTTTTCTCGAAGCAGTTTTTCTTCACACCTGAACCCGCTGCTGCTGCCCTCGTGACAGTGGCTGCCGTTGTCCGTGTCGGCCGCAGCGCCTTCCTGATCTCGGCTCATCTTTCGTCGGGCGAGCTCCCGGAAATGAACATCGGATTTTTGCCATTCACTCCCGTCTTATTCCCGAACGCCTTCGATCATTCGTCTTTTAAGCAACGGACATCCAACGATCTTGCGACGGCTACAACGCTGGCTTCTCTGCTCGCATCTGCAGCAAGCCGAACGAACCTTCTCGCTCGTTCGCTCGTTTGGATGAGAGCTCTTCCCGGACATCCACAAACCTTCCAGAATCTAAAGTCTACAGCCGGGGCTCTCGCTCTTTCAATCAGCCGGCGCTAGCCGTGAACTTATCGATTCATCCATCATCGAGCTGCGTTT